GCTTTTTTATTAATTTTTTTCATGGGCTATTTATTTTATTTTTATTTTTGGCTGCAGTGCTGCTTTACATTTTGGTGAGCAGGTTCTACAAGTGAGAAGCAGCTGTAGGGATTTATCAGGGACAAGCAAAAGTAGGACCTTCCTGTATTTGAAAACCGCATTATATTTTCCGATTCATCCCTGAAATCTCCGAGCTGGTATTAAACTGTAAAGGGTTATAGAAGCACAATAGGTGGAACTGTTTTTTTTCAGCGGCGACTCTAAAATCATTGGTCACAGAGGTCTCCTCTCTCCGCTCGTTCACTGTGCTCATGTATGGGCTTGGGTTATGGGACGAAACCGGAGCACCCAGAAGAAATACGGTCACGGGGAGAATAAAGACTCCACGGAGACCGTTGGCCATTGAATCCAAAACGTCAACATTACAAGGGCCTAGTGCTAAAAGCACTGGACCCGCTGAGCGCGGCTCGGCGCGCTATCTCCGCCGTACAATTCCATGAGAGTCATTGGCCTGGCGGGCCGGTTTTGTTTTGTGTTGGAAGGCAGAATATTTGGGTGCCTTTGTCGTTACACATCCTGACAGCTGTGTATAAGATGGGGTGTAATCACGTCATTGTTACCGCCTTACCATTGTACAACTTCCTGCTACAGAGGCTGGGCATTCATTGTGTACATGGGCAGCCCTAGCACAGTCCATACATGTATTTATCCCGCTGTTACAGAACTGATTGTTTCCATATATTGCATTGCAGCAGATATTCATTCTTCTTTTTTTACCAGAACCAGAACTTCAACCACTTTGCATTGACTTACTGATTTCACATTGTAGATTGAAACAGTTGCGTGCAATTTTTGGGTCAAACATGCAAAAACGCAATAGTTTTGTCCCAGCATAGTTTCTTAAAGGAGAACTATGGGGTCAGGGCTTTTCCCCATAGTTCTCCTTAGGGTAACGGGAGGACACAAACTAGCGTCCTCCCGTCACCCTAGGCTCAGTATACTGAGATGCCGCAGCTGAAGCGGATCCCAACAATTGTGCCGGGATCCGCCCAGCCGCGTGACTGACAGCTGGCTCTGCCTATCTAGAGGCGGAGCCAGCTGTACCCGCCCCGTCCGTTCCGCCAGTCAGCGCTGGCGGATCGGAGCGGGCAGGGGGGGAATCCAGCCCCTCCCCTGTCACGGCAGAGAGCCGTGACAGGATCGAGAGGTGAGCGAACCCCGGTATGTGTTCGCTCACCTCCCGATCTACTAAGCCGACCTGTGACAGTCTCATTGTCACAGGTCGGCTAGAACTATGAGGTGAGTGAGAAGCACTCACCTCATAGTTCTCCTTTAAACCGGCATAGGCTCTTCCACCATTGGGTTTGGCGCTCTATTGCGTTTTGAGAACAACATAGACACCGACACTCCCAAGTAATGAATCAATGGCGTCTGTTTATTGACGCACGATGCATCAAAGCAACGTTTTGGGGTCTCAGGATCCCCTTCATCAGGCAGAATAATAATTTTGCCTGATAAAGGAGATCCTGTGAGACCCCCGAAACGTTGCTTTTGATGCATCGTGCCATGTTTCGTGCGTCAATAAACAGACGCCATTGATCCGTTACTTGGTGTGCCGGTGTCTATGTTATCCTGTGATTATAGACGGTTGCCATTCGTTGACTGCCGCAGCACCCATTGTTTACACTATGGAGCAGCGGTTTTGAGTGCGATAGGTGCATGGAGTGTATCCTCTTGTGTTTTGAGTCACATTCTGGCTACTCACCGGTGGGGGAGCCTCTGTTCACGTGAGCAACGTTCTCAGAGCCAATGAGCTTGTTTAATAAATGTGTTTTCTCTATGGTATGGAACAAATACGTTTTTGATGTCCTGTCACCTCCTGAATGTTTTTTTTTTAGGAATGTAAAAAAAAAAGGATTCCATTTATGGGTGTATTAGGGCAAAATGAGCTGTATTGGCCCAGGATGGTTTTCTTCTCTCCTTCTTGAACCAAAACTTCTGTATTGTGAGAACACATTTTTCTAATTTTTGGAGCTTTGGTATTTGGCACTGCTGTAAACACTCAAGAGCTGGGAGACACGTTTGTGCGATCAGGCAGTTGACCCAGAAAGGGAGCTCTCAGACCTCAGGTGACCTCTGACCCCTGACTCAAGTTCAAGGCTTTCACTAGACACACGTTACTCTCAGATTGCACCAACTACCGTGTTTCCCCGAAAATAAGACACTGTCTTATATTTTTTGTGGCTCAAAAAAAACACACTAGGTCTTATTTTCGGGGTAGGTCTTAATTTATTTTTTTTAATGTACAACAATCCAAAGTTAATGCAAATCCAAATTAAATAATCCAAAATGGCAAAGTTAAGAATATGGTGATCAGGGCAATCAGGGGCGCCGTACCTTTCCAAGAGCAATTTGCTAACCAATCGCTGGCCAGAATGAGCGAAGCGCGCTTTCACTATGGATTCCTCACAGGCGGAGTGCATTTGGTATCACTCCGCCTGTGACAGGAGCCGGCGCTATAGAGGAGGCATCGGCTTACGCGGCTCTGCTCCCTCCGCTGCCGCCTCGCTTCCTCTAGCGCTGGCTTCATTGGCACCGCTGATTCTCTCCCGGGGCTCTTCAAGTTCCCCCTTATGCCACCACCGGCCCTGGGAATGGTCACAACTTATTTTTGGGGTAGGTCTTATATTTGAGCAATTCCCAAAAATGGTCTTAGGTCTTAATTTTGGGGTAAGTCTTATTTTTGGGGAAACAGGGTATGTAGTGTGCGGGCCCTGATTGGCTATAAGTTGAATGGATGGTTCAGACCAGTGGTTCTTAAAGTGTGGGTCGCGACCCCATATGGGGTCCCGCAAGTGAACAGGGGGGGTCGCAATCTGAGTCCCCGGCCAGGACCGCCATCACCGCTGGGGGGGAGAGAAGAGGAGAGAGACACTGACCGATTTAAAAATGTCCTCGGCCAAAAAGGGGTCACGAGTGGAGAAAGTTTAAGAAGGCCTGGTTTAGACGGTCCCATTCAAATAATATTATTTATTGCTGTTTAAAATTCTGAAGATCTTTTGTACAAGTTATCTGAAGTCACCACACAAGTTACAATCAAAATAAGTGAAGCCCTTGAACTGGACAAATAAAAATCATTCACACAAGTCAGAAAAATGAGGGTTCATGTTGACGAGTTTCCATCTTAACGCATGGGCTGTGTGAATGGAAAAAGCTTCATGTGACCAGCTGTGCCTGCAGTTACCTCAATAGGACTTTCTGCACCTGAAACGCAGAACAGGTCAAAGCCAGCCGCTGGACTTCCATGTGTGCTTCTCGGTTAGTCGGGGATCTTGCTTGACCTGGTGCGTTCCAAATGACTGTCAAATGCAGGAAAACACCCATCAACGTGAGCTCTACAACATTCTGATCGCGCAGTCCAAGTGATTCTTTTGAAAATAATACATTGGCTTGTGGTTTTAAGGTCAGAAGTCTGCCAATCACTTGAACAGGCAAACTAAATGATGTGCGTTTATGTTGTTGACTTCTAAGGGGTCTGTAAGGGTCCCAATGAAAAAAGATTTACCTTATTTTATTACGAAGAGTTTACATATATACATTTTATGTTTATGAACTGGTTGTATAACATTGGAGAATTAAAATGAAGATCTTAAAAAATGATCAAATATGTAACACTCAGGGGTAGTAATGGGGTCCAGCGTGTGCTCCTGGACCCCATTACAGTCCCTTGCATTGGGCTACAGCGCAATCGAATCATTACTATAGTACAGGGGTGCCCACAATTTTTGTGCTAGGATCTACTTTTCAAATGACGAGCTATATGACATCTACTAATTTAAAAAAACCTCCCTCGCTCTCTCTCTCTCTCCTGGCTGTCTCTCCTGGCTGCCTCTCCTTGCTCATCCTCCTGGCTGTCTCTCCTGGCTGTCTTTCCTCGCTCTCTTTCTCTCTCCTGGCTGTCTCTCCTCACTCTCCCCCCTGGCTGTCTCTCCTCACTCTCTCCCCTGGCTGTCTCTCCACCTTCTCTCCCCTGGCTGTCTCTCCACCTTCTCTCCCCTGGCTGTCTCTCCTCGCGCTCTCTCCCCTTTGCTGTCTCTCCCCGCGCTCTCTCCCCTTGCTGTCTCTCCTCGTGCTCTCTCCCCGGGCTGTCTCCCCTGGCTCTCTCCTCCTGCTCTCTCTCCTGGCTGTCTCTCCTCCTGCTCTCTCTCCTGGCTGTCTCTCCTCCTGCTCTCTCTCCTGGCTGTCTCTCCTCACGCTCTCTCCCCTGGCTGTCTCTCCTTGCGCTCTCTCCCCATGGCTGTCTCTCCTAGCGCTCTCTCCCCTGGCTGTCTCTCCTGGCAGTCCTCACGCTCTCCCCTGGCTGTCTCTCCCCGCGCTCTCTCCCCTTGCTGTCTCTCCCCGCGCTCTCTCCCCTTGCTGTCTCTCCCCGCGCTCTCTCCCCTTACTGTCTCTCCTCGTGCTCTCTCCCCGGGCTGTCTCCCCTGGCTGTTTCTCCTTGCGCTCTCTCCCCTGGCGCTCTCTCCCCTGGCTGTCTCTCCTCGCGCTCTCTCCCCTGGCTGTCTCTCCTC